GGGAGGGAGGGAAGGAGGAAGAGAAAGAAAGAAAGAAAGAAAGAAAGAAAGAAAGAAAGAAAGAAAGAAAGAAAGAAAGAAAAAAGAAAGTGAGAGAGAAAAGAGTGGGGAAGGGAGAGAGAGAAAGGAAGAAAGCTTCTATCAAAACACAAAATTTATTTTATGAAATAATATATTAGGCAAGTACAATCAATTAAAAAAAGGCAGCATAAGACTTGGCTAAAAGAGATGATTAAATACCATATGTATATATACGACTAACTTTATATTTTAGTCCTTTAAAAACAGTAATCACAATAGGCATTTAATTTTAAATTTTCTATCTGCTGGTCACTACTCAAGATTTTCATTGAGAAAAATTCAGAAAAATGAGAATAGTAATATATAAAGTTTGTACTACAAACAATACTGGAATTCAATTTAAAAGAATTGAAGATATTGAAACACTCATATTAAATAGCTCATAATAAATTAATAATATGATTAAGATATTTATCATTGTGAAAATACCATTATATATCTTCCAATATGTAGTTTTCATTGATGAGAAAACATTCAGCCCTGCTCCCTGAAATTAAAAGAATGACTGAAACAACCCATGATTAGACACTGTGTGAAAACTAATACATACTTGGGCAATACTATAAAATTATTTTATATATACATTGCTACAGTATAATATACCATTTTCAAGAGAGTGGTTAAAAAAAAAAAAGAACAATAGCAGCATATACCACATTCCAAAATTTCAAAATACCCAACAAGGACAATAACAAACTAGAAATATATTTCCTTCCCAGAGATGTATAAACAACTGAGAAAAATTAAATTATTTTTATAAGCATAAGTACAGAATTACGAGTATAAAGAAGTTAGAATAACAATAACATTGAACAATGAAAATAATATGAACTTCAATATGTCTAGATATATATAATATTTTTAAAAAATTATAAAACAAAATATAATTCAAACTCTATTAAAATAAAGAATGGAAGAGTAAAATATGTCTATCTAAATAAAATGATAAATTATATTCTGAGTTGTTTGGAAAAAGATAACACTTTGAGAATAATGAAAACTAAAGACTCAAATCTTTTACAAAGAAATTGTACTTTTTAATAAGTGCTATTAACTAAAATATAAAAGATACAAAAGTTTATAAAATTTTATAGTAATTTTACTCCTTAAATTGTGACAACTCTATAACAAACTTCTAGTTATAGAATAGTAGATTTATCTTTTATAAACTCCTTAGTGCATGAAACAACATGCCTACCTCAGACTAATTGAAAAGGTAGTCTACGAATAATTCTCTAACACTTTTCTTCAAAGTTAAGAATCTTTACTTTGGTTTTGTAGCTTGTTTGACAACAGTATGCATTATTAACCCCTTTGTCACTTTTTCAAATCAATGCATATTATTCCAAATTAAACAATTCAAGCAAAATGAATTCAGAGAAAAAGCTCCAAATTATTTTAGGTTAAAAAAGAAAAATAAATTCACGCCTACAAACCAACGGAAACAATTGTTCCCTAAATCCACTCCATACACATATTCTAGAAGAGAACATGAACATGTTTCTTAGTTCCTGGCGAACCTCAAACAATTTTATAGCACTGTAAGAAAGAAGAGTAAAAGAAGGAAAACCTGGCTCAGGAACTAACTTTTTTTAAGGAAGGCCTTACCAGTCATCTTTCATCATTCTATGAAGCCAAACTAGAAAGTACATTTCTCTCTAATGTGAATGACTTCATTCTTATTTAGTTTCACACTTCAAATTCTTCCTTTGATTTTTTTTGTCATATAGCTCAAGAAAATTTGTAGAACTCATTGAAACTATGAAAATATCATGGTCAGAAAAGTCAAGAAGCATAGAATGGTTAAAAAAAGTAAAACAAAGAAAAATAGGTTAAAAGAAAACTATCACATACTTCCTTCATGGATTAATGGTGAAAAAGAGAGAGACTTCTTACCAAGTACCCCAAGCCGGTAGTTGACCGTGATGACAATCACATTGCCATAGCTTGCCAAGACGCTCCCATCATATAAATTTCCAGTACCTTCCATGTACGAGCCACCATGGATATACACCATCACTGGTTTGGGGCCTCCACTGTCCCGGATATCTAAAAAAAAAAAGGTTGGCAATATCTTCAATACAGTACATAATGAAACAAAGAACTCATTTTTGATTTTGGAGACAGGAGGGCATAATTTTAATATAGGTCCTTAAATTGTTTGTGCTGAAGTGTTTCTTAAGCAACTATACTAAGAGCAGTTTCAGAAAAGAGCAAAAGGCATCCACTTTTTTCTATTTAAAATTTTGTTTACAAATGAGATTACACATTTGGACAAATTGAAAGAAGGTGTAAGTTTTAGTTCATTTTGTTTAACTTCTGAAGTGACAGTAAAGCCAAAAGTGCAGTATAATGACAATGACTCTTCAGATTACTTTTTCAGAAATGACACACAGTATTTATGATCCATAAGCTAAGGGCAACAATTTCAGTGCTATCTAGAGTAAAATGTTTTTTTTTTTCTTGTTTACTAGAAAGCTTTATATCAAATGCAACATGATTACACTGTCATTTATGTTCTCCTTTGTGGATATAATTATGAAATTGTATTATTCAGTGTAAAAAGTCACATTTCATTGCTTAAAACTTGTCAAAGGAAAGTTTAGGCAGTACAGTCATGTACACCTGAGTTCCTATTGTTGTACTTAGGGGAATTTTACTTAAATAATAGTTTTTTGAAGGTCTAGGCTATTCACTTATTCCACTTAACCTTTGGGAAAAGAGAACAACTAAATTACATTTTTTTCTACCTTTTTCCTATAGCTAATATATTCTTTTTTTTTTTTAGTTTTTTTTTAGTTTTTTTCTCCGGTACTGGGAACCGAACTCACGACCTTGCACTTGCCAGGCAGGCGCTTTTGCCGCTGAGCTAAATCCCCAGCCCCAGCTAATATATTCTTAATCTTAACTTTGGCTCTGTTTTTTCTTTAATCTTATAAATATGTGAGAGGCTAAAACTAGGTTCAAGTATAAAGTGCTAAAATTTAGTGTATATGTAATTTTTATAACTTTGAATTTTAGTCAAGTATTATTTGCTTTTCTATGATAAAGTCCTCACAATTGTAAAGTCCTTCATCTTTTCTAAGATTAAGTTTTCAGCAAAGATCTAGAAATGATATATCAGGGAACCAGGATAGTTTCAGTCAGTGTGAAAAAGTGCATGGATATTTATAGAAAAAAGTAATCTATTGATCATTTGTACTTACTATGTAGACTGAAATATATGTGTGTGTATATATATATATATATGAATTTCACCATGTGGAAAATATTTATATTAAAATCACATCAAATGTATTATCTTTTCTTAATACCAATATTGAGTGTCATTTAAAAATACATTAAAAGTATGGTTTTTTTGGGCCAGGAATATAACTCTGCATTACAATGACTGCCTGGCAAGTGCAAGGTCCTGAGTTCAATTCCCGGTATTAAAACAAAGTATGGCTTTATTCTTTTGCTTTTAACTTAGTTTAAATTATTTTTTGTCAATCTAAATTCTGCTATGACTTTCCAGTTGAGGCATCAACTTTCAGAATGTACTGATATGATACAGATTTATTTCAAGAGGGCCAGTGGGGATAGCTCAGCGGCACACAGCGCCTGCCTGGCAAGCACAAGGCGTAAGTTTGATTCCCCTACCACCTCCCCCCAAAAAATTCAATAGTAAATTTATTGCAAGAACTGGTGATTATTTAGGGACTGCTTTACACTACTTATTAGACAAAAGAATGACTAATTGAAGCATTTAAATTTTTCTCCTATAATAATAAAGTGATTTCATTGAAGGAAAAATCATTTTAGGATCAGAGTTACAGCTCCAGTATTTGGCTCTCATCTTTTAAACTGGCAAATGGCTCAGGGCAAAACTTAGAGACTTCGGTAAAAAAAGACTTTTAAATTGTCTTAATACTAGTATATAAACTTATAGCCACGCCTCCCTCCCTCAAGGACGCATTTGAGAAGAATGTCCTGTTTTTAAGTAGTGAGAGGAGGATGCTTTGACATAACCAGCATCTGCTAGACACAGCTACATTTAACAAGGAAACCTAAATATATTTTCTCTTGCTATCCTCAAGAGAGAAAATGGTATTCACTCCTATGTAAAGATTCCAGGGCTTGTGGAGATGCTGGACTTACACAGAGAGTGTAATCCTTTTGAAACTGTTAAACTATGCCCCTTAAATTCTTGCTTGTTACGTACAGTTTTAGCTTCTTATTTTTCTAGTATGGTTTGCACTGAAGAAGCAACAATAAATTATTAAACTGAAATCATTAACTGACTGTTCACAGCAGACATTGTACTCTGCTAATTGTATGCTTGGAGGTAGCACAGAGGGAGGCTGTTTCAGAATTCTTCTTTAATTAAAATTACATAGAATTACAAAGCACCAACTGTGAACAGTAATGAAATCTTGGTAGAATCATCCTGTTCACCTGGAAAACAATAGAGGCACACATTGGGAAAACCTGCCACATTTGATGCCTACTCACACGATGAAGCGGACATTTTCAGGAAACATGAAGAATACGACAAAAGATTCAAAGAGATATTTTGAGCAGAACTTATTTTTCCTTGCAAGTAGGACTTAAAAGTATGGTTTGATGATTCTAATTTCCAATTTGTCTTTTCAAACATGTCAAAGATATCAGCCTTCCCTAAGCACTTAATATATTAAGTCTTTCCTAAATGTTTTATAAAATTCTAGTATTTTGTGAGAAATAATTTGCTTGATTTGAAGGAAACTGAGGTTAATATTATAGGAAATATTAAATAATAATAAAATTCTTGGACATACAACACTACCTACTATTGCTAAAGAAGTCTGAGAAACTAGAATCCTTAGAGATTAAGATAAAATAAAGAATTTTATGTATTGCATTTTATCAGAGTGGTTCATCTTAGACTTTACTTGTTTGTGCATTCTGTACACATATTTATATTAACAATTAGTGTAGAAATATCAAATAAGAACTATTCACTTTGTATTTAAAAAGAACTAGATATTTTATAAATGAAATTAATGGATTAGCTTTCCATTGAACACTATCTTCTATGATCATTTTAACAGTCAAATTTTAGGGGTCATTTATCTTCACTGGAAATATATTAAATGTACTTCAGTAATTTATATTGAAACTTTTAGAGCTAACGTGTCCTTTTAAACCCTGTCTCAAGTTAGCCACCAATAAATAACATGGAATGTGTGAGCTATGTATTTAACGTATGATTTCTGCTTTGGTTAAACTGCTGCTACTGACTTTACTAAAATTGTCAAACCACTCTTATAGATCTTAAAACACTAGATGAGTCCCAGTGAAAATACAAACTTTTATCAAGCATGATTATATTTTCTCTTTTTTGCAATGTTTTTAAATCTTGCATAGCACACGTGTTTCTGAAAGGAGTGGAACTTTATGGAAAATATACTGCATTGATGATAATTTTTTAAAACACTTAAGAAACTATTATAAATGTTTTTGAAGCTAATAAAATAATGAAGTTAGAGCCTGAGTAAGCACCTTGATTTTAAACTTTAATTACCATTTCACCTTTCTGATAAACCAAAGTTTCACACTAATGCAGAAAGTGTCAGTAGATGTAAAACTGGTAATGGGAATTTATTTGCACCTGACAAACTGCATTTGGGATCATAATTCCCCTTAATGATACCAGTGAATAATTATTGTTATATAAGTTCTTAAATATGTTTCCTGGATTCTTTCTTCTTCAAGGACTCATGAAATGGTTAATCGCCCATATTTCAGTGTTTGGGATTTAACTGTTTCAATTTTATAGAAGCACTGTCTCAATTAAATCTTGCTCTCATATGTATAAAAAGGCATTGTAAGAAATTTTTGTGTTTTCCACTCATTTTTATGGACCTTGTTGAACATTCAGAATCATCAATTGCATATAAAAATATTGGCTGAATTTGTGTTTGTGAGTAGACGTAACACAAACATACCTTTTTAATCTAAAAAAAAAACCACAAAACATCTGCAGAACAGATTTTACAAAACTCTATGTAGAATATAAAACTGCATTTGAATATCGAAATGCTAACATAAGTACTCTTAACATAATTTTAATTTTTTAATAAAAATCCCCTAGATGGCTAAAATAAATAATTAGAAATTTTAGATGGTGCTTTGAGCCATTTTTGTTATTTCCCATTGCTTTTATTTAAACTGTGGAATGGTTTTATCATAAAACACATGAGAAAATGATACTATTGTGTTTCGGCCTAGAGATGACAGAACAGTGATGTCAGGGGCACATGAGAATTAGAAGTGACAGTTCTGCCCTGAGAAGTCTTCCACTTGCTTACTTGAATGAGGAGTGAGGCCCGGACAAAGTCATCTGCAGCCTCAGAAGCCAGTACCTGAGTTACAGACCTGGACATGAAGGGAAGATGTAGAGGTATCCAAGAATAATGGATAATTTTATATAAATGGTCAGATAATCTAAGCTGGTTGTGAGTAATCAAGAATAGTTTTTCAAGTAATTTATGTTCTTTATGTCCAGAGATGTTGATTCAATATTTGGAACATATTCAATAAGGAATTTAGACTGTTTTCAGTCACACTCAGATCTGCAAATTAATTTTAAAAAATTTTTCGATGAAAGATGCCTAGACTACACTTTTTTTCCTGTAGAATATGTGAATTCCTCTTTCTTCTCCTCAAACATGTATCCAATACAATAAAAGAATTGACTGGTTTGACATTCTATGCTTTTTTTTTTTTTTTTTTTTTTTTTTTATTATTGGATTATCCCAGA